GTAGTCACTTAGAAGAATTACATCGGTCCATTATCACCAAATTTTCAGCCCAAATCTGAAGTTTGGAACATATAGAGTAGAAACATAGAACGTTTATCCATTCTTAAAAGAGGGCAAATTTTTTTGGAATCCAGAGGCTTCTAGGCAATAGACAAATAGAGACAAAATCATGTGTGCTGAAAAGTAGGTTGAAACCATGGGAGATGCCTATGGAAATTCGAATAATCAAAGAAAATCACACCCTCTTCGTTCAACCCCATTAGCTTATATCATATAAAACTAAGAGTCCATAAAACAGTGAATAACACAAGAAAAAGAAGCAAAGGAACTACTTTCTTGGGATAATGTATATTGATCATACAGTAATTTACTGCTAGGAAGTCAAGCTCGAAACAGGGTCTCCAACAACAAAAACAGATTGATCTAATCCCATTGACTCACACTAGATAAGTTTAACTAAATCACATCCCAGTGAACGCTTTCTTTCCACCAGCAGAAGAACCAGCAGGTATCACTTTCAACACATTGAACCTCACTGTCTTTGATAAAGGCCTGTAGAAAGGAAAAGGAGTAAATAATTAAATATAGTATATGAATCAAAGCTTAAGATTAGTGTTCCATACATAATAGAGAATATGAAGATATGGGTTTCAACCTGCATTGCCCAATGATAACATGGTCTCCCTCCTTAACACGGAAACAGGGAGATATATGGGCTGGGATGTTTGAATGTCTCTTCTCATACCTAGAAGGAAGCGAGATCACATTATTTCCATTAAAAGTAGAAACATGAAATGAAAGAGTATGTAAGAATGTCTTACCTTTGATATTTCTTGACAAAGTGAAGATAATTACGTCGAACAATGATTGTCCTCACCATCTTTGCACTATGGCAAGTACCAGCTAGGATACGACCCCTAATAGAAACACTGCCGGTGAATGGGCATTTCTTATCAATGTAAGTACCTAAACAGTAGCACAAAAAAAAAAACCAATTACAATTCAATCTTCACTCAAAAATAATTAGTGCTAAACCATGAATGCAGACAGAAGGATGGCCAATGAAATATGACTTCAATAAGATCAAATGAAGTTTTAATACCTCCGTTTAGTTCACTTTTTTCACTTATCCACTACTACTAATCAAGCTTAAAGCAAAATATACAGAAAATTTTCATGCAAATGATGTAATCAGGCTAAACTTGTGCATTGGGAAAATGTTCAGCGTAGAATTGACAATACATGTTTGCTAAGTTTATCCCACTGGTAAGCAACTTCATGTTAAATACTCACATTCTAACTAAAAAGAATAATAATGAAACCAAGAAACGTCATCAACCTAGAAATAATGCAACAAAAGTCCAGAATAAAAGGCAAATATGCATTTTCTAATCATATTGAAGCATTGAACAGAAGAATAAACCTTCAATTGCCTCTCTGGGAGTCTTGAATCCCAGACCAATGCTCTTCCAGTAACGATTTCCTCCTTTTCCTGGCCTTTTTCCTTTCCCCGACTTCTTTGAGCTGAAAATAACGAATGAAAACAAAATTCTTCAGAAAAACGGCACAAATTATCCCATTTTCTAAACCAAACAACGAGATTAGGAATATTCCGTCTCGCTTTTCTAAATTATGTTAGCAACCGAACGAGAATAGACTACATTACAAGAATGGAATGAGGGATAATCGTACCAGAGGAACACCTTGGGCTGCTTCAGGAACGCTTTCTCAGTCTGCAAGACGAAGAATGAAGTAATCCAATCAAAATTTGATTGAGGATAATACTTAAGATTCAAAGAAAAACGAGAGAAGGAAGAGAATTTGAACCTGCTCTGCCATTGTAGAGTCGAATCAAGGATCCAGATAAACCCTAACCACAGCTAAGAGAGGGAGGTGCAGCCGCCGTCGTGCAGGTAGCTTCGACCAAAGAGAGCTTATAATGGAAACCCTAATCTATGTGAATGACTAAAGTCACCCTGGCTTCGATGCAAAGTTGAAAACTGAAGTTATTGGGCTTTACTCAGGCCTTAAAAGAAGTTATTGGGCTTTGCATTTTTCATGTCTTCACAAAAAAATATATATATTTATTAGATTTTACAAAAGGAAAAATTGTTTTAAAATCCAAGCTGTTCTAGACTATAAAATAGTAACCCTTTAATAAGGGATGAGATTCTTGATATTGAGCACCTCCCTGTCTGAGGGTATTTGTTTTATAATTTAGAACAATTTAAACAGTAAAACATCAAATCTTTTACGAAAACTAATATTTCAAACTAGAAAGGTGATATATAGATAATTTTTTATATAATTTTTATATGTCATTAAATGAGTAGATGTACTCAATATTATAAATCTTGAATGAATAAAAAGAGCTAATTGTTATTCTTGATTTTGATGATTTAAAAACCAAATGTGAATTAGAATATTTACTTGACTTGTTCCTAGTGGTATTAAGTTGATTCTCAAATCTTGTGTTTTGAATATGTTTCCTTTTTAGTGGAACCCTATTTCATTATGTGATTATCTATTCAATATATTTCCTTTTGTTGTGAGTAGCAAAAACATAAATTATATTCTAAAGTTGAGGTTTCAACCCTTAACAGAGGGTCAAAACCCTTGATAATTCTGTTTTTGCATGATAGTGCAAGAAATTGCTTAGGTTCCAACCTCTTATGCTAAAAACTTTGAATAACTTATTATACTCGGATTATATTCTTTTCAATCATGCTCCAATGGTCATAATCCTTTGATTGAGTAATTTTAAGTCATATATATCATACCTTGAAGCAGAAAAGAACGCAAGTAGAAGAAGAAAAGTTTTCAACCTTAGAAACAAAGAGAGATCAAGTTTCCACTTTTGTTCTTAGAGAGATTATTTATTTTCTACAATTATTCTTGTTCTCTTTCATTATAACAAGTGAGAGGGATTGGGGAAAACTTGTTAAATTTAATAATCCATTCTTGAGGAATAGGATGGGTTGAGAGATTTGTGATAAGGGATTGAATGATTTAATAGCACCCGTAAGTTATTGGAAAATTGATTGAGTAACCTTATTAAATCTAGAGAAAACTAACATTGTGGTATAAGATTGGATTTGTGAGAGATTGTAACAAAATGTTAAATTGTTCAAAGGTGAATAGTTTGGACAAAATTATTATAAGCAATTGCCTCTACAACTAAAAGTTAAAGGAGAGCTTTTGAATCTAGAGTGAACTCTTAAGCAAGCAGCTTGAATAGTGAATTAAGCACAAATTGTGAACAAATTATTATAAATCCTTGTATTTGAGCTTTCTCTTCTCTTAATCTTTAATTTCTATACGATATATAAAATTGTATCAAAAGATAATATAAAAAAATTATTTTTGATTTTTTTTTTGACCATCTAATCTAATCAAATTGACTATTAGAAAAAAAAA